TGATCAGGCAGGGACCCCAGGGGCTCACCGATTTTGCCTTCCACATGGTAGGTGAAGCAGGTGGTGTCCTGAGCGCCACACCGGCTCACCTTGCAGGCGGAGTTGTTGCTGGCCTTGATGCATTGGTAGCATTCCAAGGGGCTGACTGAGGGTAGGGGCTACATCACAGCAGGCTGCGTGCCATCTGGCTCCCAAGCGTACCCCCACCCCGAGCAAACCGCTCCCACCAGGGGCACCCCCATAGCCTTTCCTAAGCCTGATGCCCACTGCACCCCTCAGCCTCACCAGGGTCTGCACACACCAGGGGGGCCCACAGGACCAGGGCCAGGACCACCAGACTCATGATGAGGACAACTGGGCCTGAGGGGGTGGGGGACAGAGATAGAGCCCTCACCTGGATCCCTTCCTCGCAGCTGGAGGAGTCTCTTCACCCCCCAGGACACAAACCTTTGTATCTGCTCTTCAGACCCTTGGATCTTTGCCCCCTCTCTAGACTGGCCCGGACCCACCCTCCAGGGCTCTTCCTGGCCCCCGCCCCCCCATCTCAGACCTGAGCTGGCCATAGGGGCCGCTGCTGGGGCTGCTTCAGGACGGCTCTGGGGGCTCATGAGCTAGCAGTCCAGAGTGGCAGCCACGGGATGGGCACCTGCCTTGCCACCTGGGCCCACCCACCTGGCTCTGCTACCTCCTTCCCTTCATGTGACAGGCCCTGCCTGGCAGGTCAGATGGGACAGGCCCAGAGCGAGAGGGAACAGTTTGTACATCGTAGTCATGGTCCAACAGCTAAGTGGCCGGCAGGCCCCTGGCTCCAGCTCTGGGTGGTGAGTGACCCCCCACCTGCCACAGGCCCTCTGGGGATGAGTCAACTCCCAGACGGAAACTTCCAGCTCCAGGGCCTGGTCACTGCGTGTCCAGATGTTATCGCCTCTTCAAGGGCTTGTTGACCTGGAAGGCCTCGTCCCCTGACTTTCAAGCCATTTGTTTGGGAACAAGTCACAAGGAAGGAGAGGCATGGGGTCTTCTCTGCTGCTGAGTGGGAATTGACGAATCACATCCCCACGCCGCGGTGCTGTTGCTGTCACCACGCATACACTGGGAGTCTCAGGGCCTCAGACAGGGCCGGAGCCACTGCCCCTCCTCAAATGCTCGCAGAGACCGGTGGTGGGCTGCAGGCGCCAAGCTGACTCCTCGCCTGTGCAGCCCGCAGTAGGAGCGTGGTCCCACACCCATTAAATGCTGCACACACAGCCCAGGAACTAGGATGTCCCTTTAAAACCCCACTGTGTGTCAGCCTGTCCAGCCCCAGGCTTGGTGGCCCCACGTTACTGAGCCGCTCTGCTTCCTGACCCCTCAGCTGGTGTCTTTCCAGGAGGAGGCCCTGCTGGTGGTGAAGGGTAGGGCTGCCACCTGCCACCTGCCGCAGCCGGGGAAACAACATGGGGCAGGGGCACAGCCACATGGGGTCAGGATGAGGAGGCTCTGGCCTAGACGCCAGCAGATGCCACCACCGCACAGAGGCGACCCCCTGGTGCAGTCATGCCTGGCCATCTGCCTCCAAGAGACCTCAGCCTGCAGGCCCAAGGGCCAGCTCTGCTGTGTCGCACGGGGTCACCCAGGGTCAGAGGCAGCTCCAGGGCAACCACCACCACCACCACCCCCTTTGTCCACGAACACGATTCTCCAGGGCTTTCTTACGCAGCATGGGTGGGGTGTGTGTGTGTGTGTGTGTGTCACACTGCCAACCCCTGGGCACACACCAGATTTGCCACCTGGAAAGCATGACACAGACACCAGCTGATGCCAATGACCACACTGGAGGGGCAAGGACAGAGGAGGGGCAGTGAGTCACACCTATTCCATGGGCAGCAGACCCACAGGGGGCACCGTGAGTCAGCGTTGGCTCTGTGGCAGTGAGTACCTGTCAGGAAAGGGCAGCGAGTCGGCGGATGTGCTGCCCCTAGCGTTTGGGAGAAAGGTCCCCCTGGCCCACCGCTAGGGAAGAGGGTCATGGCCCGGTCCATTGTCAGCGTGGGCAGGGAAGGGTTGGATTGGAGTCCGAGCGCCCGCCGATGGCGCACTGGCTCTGAGCACTCCAATGCCCATCCCGCCCCAGCCGGCTTGGCTGGAGCAGAACCTCCCACGATGAGCTGGCCGGCCTCTTACAGCCAAAGCAGTAACTGCCCGGCCAGCAGAAGCCCGTGGAGATCCTGGGGGGCAGGCCAGACGCTCAGACAGGGAAGAGCAGCACCGCCCACTATCTGAGGCGTGGACTAAGTCTGGAGGTGTCTGCGCCCACAAGCGACGGCAGGTGGCACTGGGGCCAGTAGAGCAGCTGTGAGGCAGAGGCTGGGCGGTGGGTCAGTGTGGCTGAGCAGGTGGCTGCCTTCTCAAGGGCCTGGTGTGGACGCAGAGGGGTCTCCAAAGGCCCTGGTCAACCAGGTCAGTGGGCACCGGTGCCTGTAGCTCATTTCTACAGAGGCTCGACTGCGAGCCCAACGGGCAGAGGTCCAGCTTGCCCAGAGGGTCCTCAGAAACCCTCCTGGGCCCTGTGTCTAAGGCCCCCAAGATGAGGGGCCAACGGGCACCCCTTTCCCACTTGCTCTCCATCTGCTCAGTCTCAATGGTCAACCCTTCCCGTGGCCCCTGCAGCCTCAGTGGACCCTCCCTGGTGAGCATTCCTTTGCCGATTGGTCAGCGAGGTGACTCAGCCGCAGAGAAGCCATTGTGGAAGGTCCTGCGGTCCTCCGTGTCCTGTCCAGAAGGGGGACTGAGGTCCTAGACTCGTGAAGACGTGCACCTTTAAGGAGGGCATGGTAGTTACATGATCTGTCAACTGGTGAAGAGGTGGATTCCAGCCTATTGATCAGGTCCCAGCGTGATGACCTCATTTCTGGAGGTGCGAGGGTGATAAATAGCTCACTGGAGCCCAGACACACAATCTCTATGCTTGTTGTCCTGCTGACAAGCCAGCTGTGCTAGGCTCATGGAGCCAGAGCCCTGGGGCTGGAGGAGCCACGTGGAGACTCCTGCCAGCACTGAGATGCCTCCACTGCCACCGGATCCACAAGACATTCCACCCACCGGCCTGTGACCTTCCTGCATCAGGCGTCATTGCATGTGCTGTGTGAGTCTGAAGGAGACTTCCTAGACTGGCATCAGACATATGGACTACTATCAGATGTATGGACTTGACCTGGACTGGGCTGGGATGTTCTCTTCATACACATTCTTTCTTAGGCCCGTATGAGTGCCTCTGACTTTGTTTCTCTAGTCCACCCATGCGGGAAACAGAAAGGTTTCTCCCAAGTCATCTCCCCCAAATATATGTTAGACTCAGGACTCCGCTTGCAACTAATGGTAAATGATTGTCAAGCTATCTCCCGGAAGACTCCAGCCATCCAGAGCAAGCAGACACCACTGTTTCTACCACAATAGGCAAGGCTCACTCCCTGCTGTGAGGGTCAGTGGAGGGCTTCCCCTGAAAGCTGAGGCTAAATAAAGTCTCCAGCTCCAGGGCAATCGATGATAGACCGCCATCCTGAATCTAGGGTCCGCCCATCTTGTCACATGTATACTCCCAATCCCTCCTCTTCCTTTAGCGTATGTACCCCTCGATCACCCCCCCCTTCCATTACTGTATTACCTATAGCACAAACCTTTCCTGTGATGTATGTCTTCACCTGTAATTAGGGGGCTTGCATGTCCCCAAAGAATATATAAGCCATGATTAGCAGTAAATCTCTCTCTCTCCACGTGGACCACCAAGTGAGGCTGAGCTACCGTGAAATGTGTCTGATTCCATGATTTCAATCTCTCTTCTATCTCTCATGCTCTTGATGACTTTACTGTAATCTTTACTTATTATTGCTGTACAATTGTGCCAACCAGACCCCTGATGGTGTGTTAGCGGCTGATTTCCCTGACACACCCAGACTGGCACAGAGGGGGACTGGGGTGGGGTGGTGGCGCCTGGCCCCCTTGGGGACTGCCCAGGTCTTAGTGAACCAGTGTCTTCAAGCATTCAGGGGAAAATGGAGTGGAGAGAATGGATTGTCTCTCAGAAGCTTTCGAAGCCCTCTCACATTTCCCAAGAGCGCCCCCCCACCCCCCGTTCTTTCTGCTGGGCCCCCTGACATCCTGCCCAAGAGGCGCCTCCTGGGTGCTAGTCTCAGTTCCTGGGCCCCAGAGCAGCAGCAGGCTGCACGGGAGGTGACGCCACACTGTGGCTGCCCACACAGGGGGGGCTTGGAACTCAGCATGATCATTCACAAGTATGGCGCTGGTTGGGGGTCCAGACACTTGGGGATCCCCTGAGGGAGGCCAGGGCTCAAGCCCCGGCCGGAGCAGCCAGAAGGCTGGCCAGTCCACACGGTCCATGGGGGGATGATGACAGGCTGGGGTGTGAGGGCGGCGCGGTGACACTGCCTCCATCCTCCGCACACCGAGTGGCTCTCCATCCAGCTCCTACTGCTGCAACGCCCCCTGGTGCCCCCGGCCCCTCACCACAGAGCTGCCCAGGCCAGGCGAGGGCCACTTCGCCCACAGCCCTTCAGTTCTCAGCGCCTGCTCCTTCCTCATCCTCTCCCCAAGCCCCTGGGACACCACCCTCCGCAGCCAGCGTCACCATCCCCCCAGAGTGTGCAGTTGCCACACCTCTGAGAGCCCGAGTCCCGGCGGAGGAGCTCTGCTCACCCAGCACCCGCCGGCTGTGGGCACAGCATGCCTCCTGGGCCTGACCATGGCCCAGTGACAGCGCTCTACAGACCTGACCCCCAAGGTCACCCAAGACCGAGACCTTTGCTACGAGCTGCCGAAGAGTGGAGTCAAAGGAGCCGAAGCCGAGGTGCAGGTCAGGTCAGGGGGCATTTATTGTTTCTGGAGAGAGGGGAGCCGGGGTCCCACCTGCAAGGGTGCCGGGCAGAGTGAGACCGCAGCAGGACACGCTGCTTTGTGCACACAGGCCCAAGGACAGCCGGTGGCAGGTGGGGCCAATTGGGTGCTCAGTGCAGGGCCCAGAGGGGCAGCAGGGCCCAGAGGGGCAGCCGCACCTGGGGCAGGACCCACAGGGCCGTGGCGGCCGCGGCCGGTGCCCTGTTGCAGTAGCTCTGGGAGCAGCACTTCCTGGTGAGACGGACGGTGACCCTCTTCTGAAGCTCCCACTCCTGTTGGTTGTTGCCGTTGGGGCACCTGGGTGCGCAGCGCTTACTGACCTTCCTCACCGTGTGCTCTCCTGTCGGGGAGAGCAGGCCAGGGGCCCTGCGAGGTCGCTGCAGGCAGGGCTGGGGCTGGGCCCACCAGGGGTGCTGCCGGTCTGCTGTTAGCCAAGGTGGGACCCCAGGGCTGCCAGCACCTGCCAGCCAAGGTAGGGGTGGCATACAGAACCAGCATGGGCCGTGTTCAGGGAACCTTGCTGCTGGCCCCAGGTCTCATGTCTCTGTACCATTCCCCTAAGGATGTGCTGACCCCTGACCCACAGTGGGGGCCGGCCCAGGAAAGCTCCAGTGTCACAGTGCTGCAGCTGTGCTGCATTATGCTACAATGTTGCAGGTCCTGGTGTGTTATCTTGTTCTCAGCACTGCCCTGCTACCCTTGTGCTACACTGTATCGTGCTAGGTCACATCCATGTCCTGGCTCTGGCTGTGGAGTGTCCAGACTCTCCCACCTAGAGCAGACCAGCTGTCCCTTTTCCAGGAGCAAGCACCGGGAAGCAGCTGGTGGGTTTGAACTGCCGACCTCTGGTTAGCAGCCTAGCGCTGCAGCATCACACGGTGATGTGCTGGGCTCTGCTGTTGGAACGCGTTATGTCACCTTCAGAAGGCTGTGTCCCACCATGTCTCGGCAGCCTTCGGGACAGTCTAGATTTAGAACTGGAATGGGCCCCCTGGGCTCACAGAACGTGTTGGGAGGGACCAGCTGCAGCCCCCATGGGGCTCCCTGAGCTCTCCCTCCTCAGTGCTCAGGGCCAGGCACCCTCCAACAGGGAGGGGTCTGCTACCACAGACCCACAGCGCACAAAACATGAAGGCAGACAAAGGGCCCTCCCAGTGTCCAGTGTGGTGGCCTTTCCCGGGAGTCCAGTATCCTCCCCAGGGGCTGGACATCCTCCCTCAGCCCACCCCACCCCCCTGGTGGAGAAACAGTGCACCCCCACCCCAAGGGGAAGGGCTGTGGTCAGAGGACACCGAGGAAGGAGGGTCTAGTGGTCAGAGCAAAGCAGCCACCTGGTGCCAGGTGACTCCATGAGAAGAGTGCGTGCATGTGTGCATGCATGTGCGTGTGTGTGTGTGTGCACCCACGTGTGTGTGCATGTGCACGCGCGGGTGTGTATACATGTGTATGTGTGTGCGCGTGTGCACGAGCGTGTGTGCATGTGTGTGCACATGTGTCCGTGCACTCACACGCGCGTGGCTCCTCCAACAAAGGGGGCCCTGAGCATGGGCTCACCCTCTGGCGGGAAAAGCACTTTCTGGAGCACCGCAGGGGCAGTCACACCTACGTTGGCCACGGGGATGGCTGGGCCTTAGTCCCAGGCCACTAAGTTGGCAGAGTGGTTACACTGGTCGGCAGTTCTAAACTCCCAGCCACTCCAGCACGGAGTCACAGGCTCAGGAGCCCGTGGGGCGGCTCCACCTGTCCTCGGGTTGCTGGGAGCTGGCGTCGACTCCATGGCAGTGAGACTTGAAACTTGTCACCCGGTCAACATTGGGAGACCGCACGTTGCTGTGTTCCCGAGGCCTCAGGGGCAGAAGCCAGTAGGACCCGGAGGGGGCAGCTCTGGGGGTGGGTGGGGGCGGGGCAGACAGGACCCCCCCAGACAGAGACCCACCTCCACCGGTTCCCAGGCCTGACTTCTCCATCTCTTCCCAGCTGGCTTCCTGCGTCCAAGCCTCACAGACCCCGCGGGGGCAGGGCCGCTCCCCTGTGCCTTCAAGATGAGGCTCCGAGGCAAAATGTCCCCAAGCCCGGGCTTGGAGCAGCGGCCCTGGTGCATGGCCGTCTGGGCAGGCGAGGGCAGTGCCTTTGACGGCAAGCCCCTGCATGCACCTGGCAGACCCTCCACCTGAAATAGCCCTTCCTTTGGGCCTCGTGTCCGCAGCGCCCCCAGGGCACCCGCCTGGGTCCCATTTGGATAACAGTCATCTAAAGCTTTAAGACCTCTGGAGTCAGCAACCCCCCCTCCTGACTGCCAGGGGCCTGCGGGACAGGCAGGCTGCCCTCTGGCTGCCCCCATGCCAGGGCTTTACAGGGGCACGTGCCTCACCTACCACTGCTCCACCAGGACTGGCTCCCCAGTTCACATTCACCTGGGACCTCAGAATGGGCCTTATGGGGAGGCAGAATCTTCCAGACGACATGAGTTATGGGGAAGCCACCCTAAAGTGGCGGCAGGACCTTACGTCTAAGATAACGGGTGTTGGTGGGTGAAGAAGAGAGCAGAGTGACACCCAGAGGGGCACCCAGGACGCCAGCTGCCTCCAGAGGCTGGAAGCAGGGGCCTCCCACGAGCTACCAACCCCAACATCTTGCTTTTGGGTATCTGGCTGCCAGGGCGGACCCAGCAAATGGCAGGGGTGGGGTGAGGTGGGGGGTAGTCTGCCTGGCTGTCACGAGAGTAGTGTACAGGGCCGAGGCAGTGAGGGACTGGCACTTCAGACGGACAAGTGGGCGGCCCAGGCCCAGAGCTCAAGGATCTGGCGGCAGAGGCAGTCAGTGGGGCTTCTGGGGGCACTGCTGAACTGGGCCCTCCTCTAGCCCACAAGACACCCCCTCCCCATCCTGCTGAGCCCGAGGGCTGGAGCCCAGCCCCTGTCTCCTCCCCTGCCCTGCCCAATCAGGAGTCCAGCCTCTGTCTCCTGCCCAATCAGGAGTCCAGCCTCTGTCTCCTGCCCAGCCCTGCCCAGTCCAGAGCCCAGCCCCTGACCCCTCCCCTGCCCTGCCCAGTCTGGAGCCTAGCCCCTGTCCCCTCCCCTGCCCTGCTCAATCAGAAGTTCAGACTCTGTCCCCTGCCCAATCAGGAGTCCAGCCCCTGTCCCCTCCCCTGCCCTGCCAAATCAGGAGTCCAGTCTCAGTCTCCTCTCCAGCCCTCCCCAATCAGGAGTCCAGCCTCTGTCCCCTCCTCTGTCCCCTGCCCAGTCCGGAGCCCAGCCCCTGCCCCTCCCTGGGCTGGCGGCTCACCTAAGTAGAGGAAGGTGTTATGGGCGATGCAGACAGTGTCATTGTGCGGGCACACCACGGGGTGGCAGAACTCTGGGCTGCTGACTTTGAAGCACTTGTAGCAGATCAAGTTTTCTGTGGGCAGCGACAGCCTGCGGTCAGGGCCAGGGCTCTGCGGACACACCGTGCACACAGACCGAGGGCCACCAGGGCCCCATGCCCACCTGCCTGGCCTGAGGGCCACCACCCTGCCAGGGGCCTGCCCGGCCTTACCTGACTTGGTCATCATCTTGACCCCGCAGACACAGGCACACTCCGCAGATAGGAGCAAGACCCACAGGCCTGGAGCCAGGCCCCCCATGATGCCACACTGGGTCTGAGGGAGCAGTGGGGGGCCTGCCAGGTTGTCACAGTGCCCTCCAGCCCCTCCTCTCCAACCCCCACCCCAGACTCTGAGTCCCTTCTCTTCCTGCTCCCTGCCTGATCCTCTGCCCCTGGACACCCTTCCTGTACTCTGAAACAGCCCGGGGGAGAGGGGACGGGTGTGGGGAAGGGCCTCCAGGGGCCCTAGGTCCCTGAGCACTGCTGCTGTGCCTCCAGCTACAGCATGCTGCCAAGCAAGCAGGCCCTCACCCTGGAGGGGGCAACTGAGCGCCAGCCCCCTTCCCCACCCCTTGAGCTGCCTGTGCCACAGCCCAGGAAGGGGCGTCTGGTGGGTCCAGCGTGCCTGGGCCCCAGGGTAGATGGGCTTCCAGAGCACTGTCCCACCACATGCCCACCCACTCGCCTTTGGGCCCCATGGGCCACCACTCCTGTCTGGGCATCGGACTCTGTTCTGGGGCTTGGGGCTTTCCCCAGGACCGGTCCCCTCTGAGCCCCAACCAGGGAGACGAGCATCCGTGAGCTCCAGAAGAGCAGCCCTTCCATGCACCCCACCCAGGACCTGTGTCTCTGCCCTGTCCCCCTGCGGGCAGCTCCCTGGCCTCCCAGCACTGCCTGAGTCCTGCCCGCCCTCATGCCCTCACCCCCCGGGTGTCAGGAAGCTCCCACTTCCCTGTGTCCAGACTCTCACTGGAGGCTACAGGGTAGTCCCGGGGACCCTGCACCTTCTCTGTTCTTGCAGCCCCCAGCCGGCCGGCCTGTCCACACCACTGAGCCCCCCATCAGCAGCAATGGCTTCCAGGCAGCAGCACCCCAGACGTACCTCGCTCAAGGCCAACGGGCGCTTGCCGTGGCCCCCTGCCGTGCAGCCAGCTCCCCCACCGCCGCCCCCGCCGCCGGTGCTCGTGGTCAACCGTGTCCCAGGACGCCTCGGATGAGCAGCCAGGCCTCGCGTTGGCTTTCAGTGTTCAGATTGTATCATCTTCACACGGCACACCGACCACACAGGCACGTTCTCCGGCATAGGGTGGGGGTACTGCAAAGCCCACAGGGGTCATGCTCACTCCCCTGCTGGGATGGGCCAGGGCTGGAGGAGCGGTCCCACCCGGCTGACCCAATACTGCCTATCAGTGCTGCCAGGGGGCAGTGCCTCTTTGGCAGCTGCCTCTGCCCAACTTGCAAAGGCAGATGGGCTCCCCTGCGCTGGGTTGCCCCCGCAGAGGTATTTGGTGAGGGAGGGGGCTGTGCTCACAGGAGAGCGCGGGGGCGGAGGGGCCGTGGCAGGATCTCCAGGTTCCACAGTGCCACTAAGTCGCCCACGACCCGGCTACCACTGAACAGCCCCAGGGCACTTCGAGATGGAGGAGACCAGGAGAGGCCAGGCAGCCAGCTTATGGAAATCAGCCCAGGAAACCCCTGAAGACCAGCATGGGGTCGCCATGCACCAGGGGTCACCTGGACCCTGCTCCCAGCCGCAGCACACTGAGCTCCCACTTACAGGGCCACGCACAGAAGGACACACTGTACCACACGCACAGAGCGCACACTCACAGAGGACACTCACACAGCACACCACCACACATACACACGCACACATAACATAGCGTACCACACACACACTCACCACACACACAGTGCATATACACACACCACGCATAGTACATACACACACCACACCACACTCTGTACCATACACCCCCCACATACGCCATGCTACCACACACATGCTATACACACCATATCACACCCTTAGCATGTGCACACACAGCACAGGCCAGGGCAATGAGGACATGCGGCAAAGAGACCCCGCACGGTCCCGTCCACAGAACTACCAGCACAGGAGACTCCTCTTGAATAACTGAAGGCTACAGTGAAAGCCGCGGAAAACACTGGCTCACCGATCTACGTGGACAACCCGTGCAGGTGACGTCTAGAAGCCATGATCACAGACACCCCAGCACCCCTGGGGAGCCCCAATCACGCTTTGGCGCCATGCGGTGGGATTTCCAAAATGGCATAGAAACCCCAGCAAGACGCCTATACAAGGCCCGGTAGAGAGACTGAAGTCGGATGGAGGACCCAAGAGGGGACCTCAGCTCCTGCTCTCTCCCCTCTCCCCGGCGAGGACCCGGAGGGCGGCAGTGCCCAACAGGACTGAGACTTAAATGTAAGGCTTCTATCTGCCACCCGGTTAGCCTAGGGTTCAGTTACAAAGTGTTCTGCTGTGTGGTGGGTGTGTTTGCAGTGGACAAACCGAGCCTTCGAAAAGGTCAAAGAGCATAACGTGATTATAGATCAAGCTGCTCATGACGCCAGGGACGGAGACCAGCACGCAGGCTGGCCGAAGGGAGCAGGTGGCAAAAGCTGCCCGCACAGCCTTCCGGAACAATGAGACACAGATACAGTTCTCGAGAGACAGAGCAAGGGCCACGGAGCCACAGCCCATGAGCCCTGAGAGGGGGGACACGGGACAGGACACCCCGACTCTGGAAAGCAGAGAGAGCGTCCCGCTGCAGACTGGTGGGAAGGACAGTGGGCAGCCATCCTTGGCCGATGGGAGAACGAATACTGACATCCCCAAAGCTTGCTTTCAGATGCCCCGGGTGCTAGGGTCCGTGCGGGGAGGGGTTGGTGAAGAACAGGGTGTCCACACTCACTGACGGTCTCTGGCCAGTGATCGCGCAGCCAGGCTGACCAGCTGTGTTGCCATGCAGTGTGGGTGGATACTAGGGGGCAGGATGTCACCACACGAGGGAGAGCTGCCAGGGGGTGGGGGTGGGGGAGCAGGCAGGGCCACAGTTTACACCCTCTTAGTGGTGAGCCCCTGAGCACGTCCCCCTGCTCTGGACAAAGCAGAGGTGCCCTTGCCCTCATTGCTCTCCCTGTCCCAGGTTCTGATCAGATGACATGGGAGCAGCTGGGGGTG